GTAAAAATAAATAAATTCACACACACACACACACACACACACACACACACACACAAAACCGGGGGGGGGGGAAGAAGACATAACCACTACAATTCCTTGAAGTTGATACGACAAGAAAACAGAATGGACATTGCTGGGAGGGAGGGGGGCGAGGGAGGAGGGAGGGAGGTTTCGGTAATGGGCCACAATAATCAACCACATTGTATATTGACAAAATAAAATGAAGGAAAAAAATAAATTATATTAGATCTCAGGTTTAATTTTCTAAAATCTGATTAGAAGTGGACTAGTTCAGGATCTTTCTACCTTATGATTCTGCCAACTCCTACAATCTTGTTGTTATCAATAGCCAATTGATACAAAGAGAAAAAAATGGGAGGGAGCATTCCTGTTTCTCAAAACCTTAATACAAAAAATAGCAAACACATCCTCTCCACTTTCTAAAATTCAGTCTCATGCCTACATCTAATTGTAAGGGAGGCTAGAAAATGCAGTCTTGCCGTGTACCAAGGACAAAAAGAAAATATATTTTTCACTATTAGTTCACAGTATCTGCCAATTTTGTTAGGTTAAGACTTCTTATTCTGAAAGCTAAACACTCAACAAAATATGTTGACTGAATTAAAAAGAAATGCCTTATCTGTTCATCCAAGCTAGAATATTTGACAGTGGAGGCAAGGCATGTTTTGAGGGAGAGCATGGTTGTCTTCCATTACTTTAGCCTTAAGGTTATGGATGAACACACATCCCAAATTTCTCTTTACTTACAATCTCTTCTTGAACCTATTACTGTTTTCAGCCTATGTTATCTCTAAAGGTAAAAGTTAACTAATGGAATTCAAATACTATCAAAATAGAATTTTTTTTGTCTCAAAACAATTTCTTTAATATGTTGGTGTGTAACTCTAAGCCTAATATTCTAGGAATGGACAAGCAAGTCCATGTTTTTCCCTGAGTCACCTTCCCCACACATAATTTATAATTTTAAGAAATTTGATTCTATCATAGAATTTCTCACCATACTGTAATCCTTCATAAACTGAATTATAGTTTCCTTGATATATAGCAAGTAGGACTGGATGATATTTCCCTGATGTAGTTTCACCACTATTTTCAAAGACATGATACTTTTTTATGGCTTATATTCAATTTTTTTCCTAATGATGCTGGCATTCAATCAATCAATGTTTTTTGAAATGTCTCCTATGTTCACTGTCATTTGATATAGGTAGGCAATATTTTATTCCATTTTCTGTCTCATTAGTCCAGAAGTCTTCAGAAATATTATTTACTGATTCCTATATCTAGCATCTTATTTATAACTGAAGTCTCCAGTTCTATCTATGTAAGCATTTTCCCTTAATTGCTCCTTCTTATGTATTTAAACTTTTTCTCACCAACTTTTCTTCTGGTCACAGAACCATCTCTCCTAAAGAGATAAACCTTGTTAATCTTCTTCAAAGATTCTTTTGCAAACCAGTTTACCACTGGGCACTTTCCAAATGAGCATTTTCTTCTTTTAAATTGTATAGGAATCGGGCCGGCCCGGTGGCGCACTGCTACAGTGCGCCGCTTGGGAGCACGGCGGCGCTCCCGCCGAGGGTTCGGATCCCACATACAGACCGGTTCCCGCTCACTGGCTGAGCAAGGTGTGGGTGCAACACCGAGGGTTGCGATCCGGTGCCGGACACGAAAAAAAAAAAAAAAGACAAATAAATAAATAAATAAATAAATAAATAAATAAATAATAAATAAATAAATAAATAAATAAAATAAATTGTATAGGAATCTGCAAACCAGTCTTTGCACAAATAGAGATCCAACTAGAAACTATCCAATCACTTGTATGACCAGAGAAAAACGAAAAAATTGTTTTAGTAGATGCATGCATCACAATTATTTTGTACCTAGTTTTTTTTTAGATTGCTGTGGAGTATGCAAAAAGCAAATGTACTTTTCACAGGGCCTGGTTTTCCAAAGCCTTGCAGTTTCAAATATTGACCTTGCAAAGGACAGGAAATTTTCCCCAGGCTATATATAGTCTCTGTTGTAAGGTAAAGAATTGTAACACAGCAAGGTTGCTGGCTCAAAGACAGACAGGTTGCTGATTGATATGTAAAGATACTGGGAAATTGCTGTAAGAGAATGTTTGCTAAGATCAAGCTTTTGTTGATAGATCAACTTAACTTCTTGAAAAATTGCATTATGGAATGTCACCTTGCTTTTCTTACTGAATGTTACAGTTATACTGTTAAACTTGTCAAACTGTACTTAGAAAAAAACCACCTATGTTCTCTTCCTGTAACTTCCTGGTCTGGAGAATAAATGAGGGAAGAGAACCCTAATTCATGGTTAATTTCCCAAACGGAAGGAATGCCTCTCTCTTGAGGGTTCTGGGAGATTAACCCCTTTTTGGGGCTTCTCACTGCTCAGAAGAGATTGGCTTTGAGTAATCTTTGGTGGCTCCATCACCCAGGGGAAAAGGGGTGACAAATCCGTGGGAGGCACAAATCCGTGGGAGGCAAAGCAACAGATTGCTGATTTTGTTCTTTAGAATTTGGGTTCTACAAATCACATCCTGTTAAAAAGGATTAATACTTACCTGCTCAAGACTACTTTTATAAGTAATTATAATTTGCTATAAATAAAAATCTAAGAAGCTCTTGAATGTAGTTTGGAGTGACTTGAATGATATTAATGATATCTGCTGTTATTCACAATACTAACTTTTGTTTTATGTCTCCTTCATTGGTAATTAAGATCTCATTCTAGTTTCAGATCCCTGCATCAGCCAGCAACCAAAAAAAAAAAAAAAAAAAATCATATCGGAGAATAAGCTTCATGAAACTATTGCAAGCATGTGTGATACATAAGTTAGCACAGTATCTGACCTTGTGGCCAGAATCAAACTAATAACTACAGAATCTCTTGTGCAAAGCTTAAACCATGAAAGAGCTCATGTGAATTCAGGTCTGCTTCCCTTTGTAAGTGGATTCCAGAACAGAAAGAAATTTTTAAGACTAAGAAATGTATTAAAATGGTAAAACTCTTACTTCAAAACCCAGTTCTAAAGGATTTACTGACCAATACTAATTATTCGGGTCATGGAAAATCTCTCTCGGGAGAAGGAATCAAGATGGTGGAATAGAAGGTCCACAGCTTCACTCTCTCCCATAATCAACCAATTTACAAATACTAAAAAAGTAAAGACTGCGAAGCTGGGGCCGCTAGAGCTCAGGGGAAGAGGGGGAGAGACCTTTGGAGTTCATGAAGGTGGGACGAGCCATGATGAGAGAAAGAAAGGACCACTCTGACCAATTCAGGCCCTGACCACTTCATGGCTGGCCCTGGTGAGCACATGGAGCAAGGGTTGGCAAAAACCACAGCTGTGCCCTGTGTGTGAAGTTGCTTGGAGACTGCAGAGGCAAGGAGAGCCTTGGTGGCCCTCAGGCCAGCAAGATCACTGACAGGGTTCCCATGGACCCACATAGGATTGAGGAGCCAGAAAGAACTGAAAAAAGGAGTCACTCAGAGGCCGGTGAGTCACTGCAAGGGACTGGCACATGGCCCATCCCATGGGAAGTGTTTGGAGTGCAGGGGGTAGGGGAGATGGGCCCACCGGAGGAACACTGGGGCACAGCATGGACAGCTGATCTGCCTCCGAAACAGTGCAGGACCACTCAGTGGAGACTGGTCAGGAATACAGAACTGCAAGGGGTGTAGTTTGCTGAAAAGAAACAGGCCTAGACCAGAGTTTCCACAACCCAGGGGTATGAGGCCTCACAAGACCCGGAAGTACTTACAAGGTCAACAATTAAAACCTGAGCTGCACAAAAAGCCTTTCCCAGGGAATCAGCAGCAAAGCAGCAATTTAGCTCAACTACAGGGCTCCAGTGCTGGACCCCACAGGAAGTCCTCCCATTTTAGAAGCAAAGGACAACGAATTAGTTCCAGTGCAGAGTTTAAGTGGTAGGGGTAGCTAATAATCCAACACAGAACTGAAAGAAAAAACAAAAAAACCCACAGATCAGAGACAAAGAAAGTTCTGATATTAACCAGTAAAGGTCTACTACCACCAAAGAACGCCTATAAAACCTAAAAGAGCAGGAAGCCCCCTGGGCTCTCAAGCCAAGGTGGGGGTGCTGAGGGACTCAGCCACAACCCCCAGATGTCCACATCCAGCCTAGTGATGACCAAGCCTTCACAGTAGCCCTCTGGGCTCCTGAGCCAGAGTGGGGGAGCTGAGAGCCTCAGCAACATCCCCCCAATGACTGCATCCAGCTCAGCGATGATAAAGGATCCACACAAACCCACTGGGCTCCTGAACCAGGGTTGGGGCAACCGAGGGCCTCAGCCACGCCCCTGATGTCCACATCCAGCCCAGTGACAACTGAGCCCCCCAGGCTCCCGAGCCACAGTGGGGGTACCTAGGGCCTCAGCCATGCCTCCCTGCCTTCTGCAACCAGGTCAGCAAAGGAGCCACCATGGGCCAGCCCTGTACCCCAGCTCTACCTCTGTCCCCGTCCCTCCCTCCCCCCACCACTGCTCCTCAGCATCTTTGAATGTAATAATAATAATAATAAATAAATAAATTTTAAGAAAAAGAAAATATAAAAGTGCTTTACGATGATTTACAAAATGTGAAAGGCTGGGTTGAACAGAGTGCTTGGTGCACTTCAGGTTGTTTCTCTTAAAAAAAATTAGAAAAAGCTACAATGTTGTACTGTAGTCCTTTAGTTTTATTTTCTGGGATAAAAAAGTATAGGAATAAATGTTTTTCAATAGTTTTCTTCATGATATCCTTTAAAATACCTTATGAAATGCTTATTTCATGTTTCCTACTTAGTATTCAGCAGTGTCACTGTTGGCCTTGATGAACTGGTTGAAAATTTCAAAGCAGAATAAGTAACTTTTGTGAGCCTTTCCTCAATCCCTGAGAATCATAATCATCCAGATATATTTTATCCTTTCATCATAAATCTCTGGAAAGTAGTCGTGTTCGTTCATTGTTTATAGGGCAAGGAGCAGTGTCATAGAGGGTTGATCCATGTAAATTGGCTTCCACCCGTAAAGAAATTTTCTGGAACAGAAAAGAAAATTATATATAGAAGTTTGCTCCTTAAAGTGAGATCACCTTTTCAGTATGTTCTGTAGACTATCTTTTGTGATTAGAAATGTAAATCAACTCTAACAGGTAATAAGAGCAAAACACTTGTTGCACTGCCAAAGATACCATCTTTAATACCAACTGATCTGGAAAAACCAAGCATTTGTATATCAAAACCCAAAGTGAGAGTCCATAATTATTTTTCAGATAACAGAAACTGGAGGAAGACATCTTTTTAATTCAGAAGACAAGTATTCTAATAATAATAGATCTCAATTAAGTACAGCATATTGTACACTATGCCTACATTTAGGGAAGACAAGTTCCTTGTCTTTCCTTGGTTTCTACTAAGAATCAGTAAAACAAGGTTGAGAACGGCCTGTGTAAATGAACAAAGAGTTGATGAAAATTCTAAGAAATAATTACTTTGAATTTGTTTTACAACCCCATTTTCAAGGCTAAACCTTGCTAGCAATATACACTGTATCTCCAAACACAGAAACAATTCACCCAACAAGTTATTCTTCTCACATCATTGTTTATGGTGCCAAATTTCAGTTTATTTATTTTACTTTCTGTTTTTGTTGTTGTGCCAAATTTTAAACAGTTAATCTTCAAAAAGGCTGGAGACTTGCCTATGGGAATTTCTCTTACTCAACCTGAAGGAAGTTTGACTGCATAAATCTAATACTATGTTTTCTTACCTGAAAATCACGGATATAAGTCAGGAAAAAACCAAAGAAGGAAAATGACATAGACCATTCTGTTGCAGTAGTGATTATGTGAAGTGCATAACCCTTGAGTGACAGGGGAAAAAAGCAAATTTTGTGAAACAGAATTTGTCAAATGATCTATACTATTTCAAAAATTTTAAAAACCTCAATTCTTATAAACCAATCTACCTTCTGAAAATCAACCCTTGACTTACTGAGCATGCCTCAAGAATTAAAGAGCAGACATTAGGAATTCTTCCTAAATGATACTAGCTATCTTATTTTCACCTAAGAGTGAATAAAATTTCCACTTAAATAACTAAGACAGAACAGGAAAATTTCTACTCTACAATCAAGGAGTTACTGCCCTTCCCAAACCCATAAGACTCATAAAATGTCACTAAGATAAGTTTAACAATGCTCATGATAAACTTAGTAAGTGCTATTTCTAGAATACTGAATAATACATCGGTTATAATTAGGAGAATCTAGTAAGTTATTTCAGTCATTCATTCTTACAAACATGTCCTACTCATGGATTCTTAAATAAAACACCACTGAATAGTTTGTGAAAACAGATTAACTCATTTTATTATCTATTTGGCATATGTCCCTCCTCTTTTATTCTCAGGATCATATCCACTACAGATGGTCCTCGACTCATGATGGTTTGACTCACAATTTTTCTTCTTTACAATGCTGCAAAAGTGATGAGCATTCAGCAGAACATCAATAAATTACATGAGATATTCAACACTTCATAATAAAATAGGTTTTGTGTCACATGACTTTGCCCAACTGTAGGCTAATATAAGTGTTCTGAGCACATTTAAGATAGGCTAGGCTAAACTATCAGTTTGGTAGGTTAGGCGCATCAAATGCATTTTTGACTTAATGTATTTACAACTTGATGGGTTTATTGAAATATAACCACACTGTAAATCAAGGAGCATTTGTATATTAGAACCCAAAGTCAGAGTCCACAATTAATTGTCAGATAACAGAAAGTGGGAGAAAACATCTTTTCAATTCAGAAAACAAGTATTCTAATAATAATAGATCTCAGTTGGGTATAGAATACTGTATACTAATTCTGAGAAAACACTTTTGCCGTTACAATTCTCTTCGTGTCTTGAAAATATTCACAGATTACAACTGACAGAATATGAAAGGTTCAATATAAATTCTACCACATTTAGAAAATAATCCTAATATATAACTGACTATTCTACAAAAAATGTTTCATTGTTGGTGATAAAATAAAAATATATCAAAATCAGCCAAAATAGTCATCATTACTATAAAACGAAATGTTATAGACTCTTAAGTTCTTACTTTGTCCTCAGAGTTCCAATGGAGTTTCTGTACTATATCAGTGCCAAAACTGCCACTGTACAAAATTGACGAGCAAGTCAACACTATAAAAAAATAAGTCAAGGAAGAATCTCAGAGAAGACCTGTAAGATTAAACTAGATTCAAAACAAAAATCACTTTAAAGGTCCAAAAGGATTATTCACACATTTGTTGCCAAAGTCCAAACCCATTTTCTTAGACTTAATATGGACATGGCAGTAATAAAACTAAAACTGCCCAAAGGATCACTATGAAATAGTTCTCAAACCCCTCCTCTTTGCTCACAAAATTAGCAGTTCTGTCACAAACTTCTGCTAGATAATTTTCTTAGCGAGGGCATTAACTCATTCTTCATTTCTCTGAAGTGAGTATGATCAGGCTAAACATTATCTTGTTCCTGCTCAGTTTCTAAGGTCCTAAGACAATCTGAATTTCATGTTTGAAATCCTTTAGTTTAGGGTTACTAACCTAAGAATCTCTCCTACAAAAATGCTGCTTACGTGCCAGTAGTATTCACTTACATTTTATTGTTCAATTCCCTTCCGAGTATAGCCACATTTTACAACGAAGGATACTGCTAAATGCACTTATTCCACACCAGATAACCAACAGTAGTCTGATCCAGAAGACTTCTTTGCCATGAATTTTGGGTTGCATTTGGTAGGAAAGGATGGTCTGAACAAACATATATAATGAGCCCATACCAAAGGTGAGCACGGCTCCACTTACATGTGCAACAAAAAGGGTTGTTTTCTAAGAAGTACAAAGAAGAAATAAGTCAATAAAAGAAACTCAGAACACATTGCCAATACAATATTTTAAAGCACAAGCCAGAGATTTCAATAGGACACTGAGTGAAGAAGCTCTGTAGATTCTACAAAAAAAAGTAATTTTTTGTAATCTTCTTTCATAATACTCAGCATAAACCTGAGAATGACAGTAAAACCAAACTATTTTATGTGCTATCACTAAAAACATGATAGTGATTATTCATTTATTCTTTTACTCATTTATAATATGTTTCTTGGGTGCTTATTAAGTGCCAGGCACCGTTCTAAGTCCTTCGATACGTTAGTGAACAAAACAGATTAAAATCTAGCTCTCAGAGAATTTAGTAAAGGTGCACAAGCAATGGATAATAAGCTTAAGAAATAAGGAAATCCCATAGTATGCTAGATGGTGATAAGGGTTACAGAAAAAGAGTACAAGGTAAAGAGGATTAGGATGGCTGGGAGTGCTGACGGTAGAGTGTTTCAACATAAATCCAGTTTACATTTAAATGGAATTTAGAGACTTAAGACATGAAAACATAGATCGGTTTTGATCATGCAACAAAGGATTATCATAAATTATAGTTTTTTTCTCCTTTACCTTACTCTTATAGGTATCTATTAACATTTTACTTTTTATTGTTATATATAGCCTCTGCTTAAAAGTGAACAACAATAGCTCTCTAAAAATTCTACAATCAAAGGTTTTTGGTTGAATCACTCTATTTTTCTCAACTACTGTCATTTGTATTTCGTTTGGTTGAGAAGGTACTATACAGCACTTGGCACACAGGGTACTTAATGACTAAGAAAACAAGAGAGGTTAGGGCTTGGTTCCCTTATGTATAATCAACTGTGCTGTTTCACACAGAGTCCAATTTTCTTTTATAGGAGATTCCTAGTATAAAGATATAAAATATTACAATTTATTTGCAAAAGGCATTGATTTCTTTCTAAAAAGAGAAAAAGGCTACTTGTGTATAGTTTGGGGTGTTATAACTGGCAAGAAGATTTGACTATTGGGAAGGTAAATAAAATGTTATTGCCACTGAGGGTAACAAAGAGAAAGAATAAATAAATATTCAACACCCATAAAATATAACACAAAATGGTAATATCTTTTCGGTTCATAATAATGTGAATTTATCTACGGATATAGTTAAAGGCTAGAAGGACATCAGAAAAATGAAAATGACTATTTAAGGGGTGAATTTTCCCCTTCCACAATATTTTCGCATATATTGATGGAGCTCAATATAGATATAGCCTGATCAACGCCGACTTGTAGTCAATATAGTTCCATCAACAAAATCCCACAAATTAAACAGCAAAATAAAGAACGAAGGGAAAGCATTTACTATATTTTTATCATTGAAATGGAGGTGCGTAAAACTGGTTTTAATCAGCAGTTATTTTGCTTAATACATTTAAATTTGTCATTTTTAGAGACTAGGGAAACATAAGGAAAACTCTTGAAATGAACAGATGAGATTACTAATTATCTTTTCTATGGAATGCTAAGGCCTCTGGTGATTACCAGGCCCTACAAGAACGCACTTTTATTTGGCTTTGACTAGGCTATGTGACAGAGAAAGCTTCTATAATTATAGAAGTTATATGTAGAATCAGAATTTAACTTACAGAACATTGATAGTAATACAAATAATTCCTATCCATAGAACTGCAAATTGTATCCTACTGAATGCAATTGATTATCACTCTGTGAATTATGACCAGTTTTGTATCCATTCCTAAATTTAACATTCCTTATCCGACTATAAAGTATAGTACCGTGACTTCTCTTCTGAACTGGTTTGTCATATCTACCGATTCCCTTATTAATTAATAAGTTAAATAAAACCTTTGACACATGTACAAAAATCATGATTTTATCCTCTTTAAAAATATATCCTTTAACAAAGTAAGACAAAAATTTACCGCTTGACAAAAACAAGACAAACAAGAGGAATTACACAGATATGTGTGGTCAGGAGCAAATCTTTGATATAGAATTTATACATTCCGTGTTGAGTGATCTGTAATCTTTGCCTAAAAAGTTACTGAAACTTAGAAACGAACTTTTGCTTACTTCTTACCTCTTCCAAAGTCTCCTTGAGGATAAATTTTCTAGGAAGGGAGAATGCCACGTGATGACAAAAATTACAGTTATACTTCCACAAGCCAAGTATTACTGGCAACTACCAGAAGCAAGGAACAGATTCTCTCTCTCAGCCCCCAGGAAAGAACTAACCCTACCAACAACTTGATTTCAAACTTCTGGCCTCTTGCATTTTGAGAGAATAAATTTCTGTTACATTAAGCCACCCAGTTTGTTGTCTTTTGATATGGCAGCCCCAGGAAACTAACACAGACTTCTGCTTACTTATCCCTTCCAAGTCTCCTTAAGGATCAATTTCCCAGGAAGGGAAAAATTCTTCTATGTGGGCACTAAGGACATATACCACGTGTTTTTCTTCTGGATACTATATACATGCATGTTTTCAAAGAAATTCAACTTATATTTTTTAAGATAGATTTTTCAAATACCATATTATAGCAGTTATTAGGCATCTCTATAAATTCAGGCAACTACAGTGATAAGTGAATTTTTTTCCATCCTGCTTAGTCTCCTTGGCCTCTCTCAATAAATTCCTTAATACTTAATGAGAGTATGTTTGTCCTAAATATAGTATGCCAGGTGCTGGGGATATGATGGTGAACAAAACCATTATGCTTATAATTAATGGAGAAATACAGCAACTAAAAAATTAAAGAATAAATGTAAACAACCATTAATATAAAATTAGATTGTAATAAGATCTATGAAGAATCAGTTTCCAGAAGCACAGAGAACACAAAAAAAGAAAATTGAAATATATTACAGCAGCAGCTGACAGAAAAGACTTCCCTGAGGAAGTACAGTCTGCACTGAGACCTTAAAGATGTCTAAGCCTGTTTAGGCCTGAGCGTTGTACATACCAAACAGAGGAAACATCACGAAAAAAGGAGTTAAATAAGCTTATCTCATTTAAGGAACAAAAAAGGTCAGAGATATAATGGAGACATTAAGAAGGGGAACAATGCAGACTAAGGCTGGAGAAGTGGACAGGAGCCAGATCATACAAGATCTTTGAGTTAATTAAATTAAACCGTTTATCAAATTATTTTTTCCTCTCTTGATTATATCTCTTTTCTGGCAATTATGGAACTCTAGAGCTCCAAGTAAGGATACAGGGAAACAGAGGAAATGTATATACATTTCCCAAAAATCCATTTGCCTGAAATATAAAGAACTGATTAAAGGAATGTAAGAGTGAATACAAAGGAATCAATGAGGAAGCTGTGGTAGTGGTTCAGATGAGAGATGATGAAATCTAAATTGCTTGAGAAGAAGATGGTAGGGAGAGAAGTAGAGATGGAAATGGAAAGAAGCAGATGTGTTCAAGAAATATTTAAAAGGTAAAACCAATAAGTCCCTACTCTGTCAAGCCTCTCTTCCAACCCAAGATCTATAACTACAAACCATTTACAGACCTTGGTTTATGTACAATTTTTCCTGCATAAATTAATGTCTGCAAAAGAAAAGGGGGAAGAGGAGGAAGAGGCAATGTGCTTGCCACTTTAAATAAATAGTAAAAGTTTAATCAGAAAAAAGGAGAGCTGTTTGGTATTTGGGTAATGCTACAGGATGTGCTTATAAATAGGGCCCAGCAATGAAGCCATCAGTGAACAATGAAGAGGACATTCAAAGTTGCATGAAGAGATGTAATCAAGAGAGAAAAAGTAATTTGATTCAAATTACATGGCCAAGGGGGACTCCTGTGGTAAAGGTAAATTAGAATGAAGGCTGAAAACAAAACAAAGCAAGCATATAAACTGTCTTAGGTGAATGAGATAAAGGTAGAAAGTCAGCTTGTGTGGGTACTATCAGGAACTGCTATCGGAATTTACTGGGTTGTGTAAACAAACACAGTAATGTGCCGTATGAGGACTTTTTGGTCTATGACAAACCAGGTATATGATGATGGAGGTCCCATAAGATTATAATGGCTATACCATATAACCTAGGTGTGTAATAGGTTATACCATCCAGGTTTGTGTAAGTATACTCTATGATGTTCACGCAATGATGAAATCACCCAACGATGCATTTCTCAGAATGTATCCCTGTCCTTAAGTGACACATGACTGTATCTGGAATTCATTTTTACCATACAGGTGATGAAAGATATGTTAAACTGCTCAAGGGACAACTGGAGCAAAGAATCACTATCCATGCACTAAAAATTCCCCAAAACATTTTTTAACACCAAGCTACTGAAACTGATTAGGGAAGGCAGGACTCTATTTGCAGCACAGACAGCTAGCTAGTGGTCCACCAAAATTTGTATTCTTCTTCTGTAGTATAAAGTTGCTCCTAGAAACTAATGCCAGAAAAACTACATTTTCCAGCACCCTTGTCCCTATCTAACAAATGAATGTCAGTGGAATGATGTGAGTCACTGTCAGATGACAAAGATTCTCTCCTTGACCAAATTCTACTCAGGTTCCTCTGAACTCTCCTCTCAACTAGGCCCTGACTAGAGCTTCCACATTGTCTCTGCATTGTCCAGTTTCAGCAAGAATCCTGCTAAATCCGTTTAGCCAGAATTCTTCATCCTCAATATCTCATCACCCTCTATATCAGATATGGTATCTGATCAGGTTCCTCATCCTCCACCACCCTCCAGGTGATGTCTGATCACCCTGGTCTGCCTTCAGCAAGAATCCTGTTAAGTTGGTATAGGCAGAATCCCTCTTTACTCCCAAGTTTTCCTCTTAGTAATTTTTTATCCACTAACCCCCACCCTACTGCTTGGCTATAAATTGCCACTTTTCCTTGTATTTGGAGTTGAGCCTAGTCTCTCTCTCCTACTGGTCTCTCTGTGAAGAGTTCACAAATATTTGGTTATGGCTAACTGCTACTTTAACATTAAGAATTCCCTGAGAAAAACAGTAAGAGCTATAGATCCCCCCTATACTTCCTCATATACAGAGCCAGGTACCTAGGAATTCAGGCAACCGATGGAAACATCAAAACAAGTGTATAAAATAGGTAAATAATTGCAACTTGTTAGGCATATTTCAAAACAAAACAAAACAACCAACATTCAGATATGTAATCTTGTCACTTATAATCTATATTCTCTGTTTGGTCTTGAAGTAATCTCCAACTAAGTAGTAATAAAGAGTCTAGTAATTGTCCTGTGGATCCTAAAAAAAGTTAGGATATAAAATAATTTACACTTTTTCAGATTATTGAATATGAATTTTTCTAATTGTTAATGTAGGTATTTCTAAAAGGGTCAAATAATTTAAAAGCAGTGAATTCTATTTTAAGGTAAAGAAACAATAGCAGCATGTTACTCAATGTTTCAGGTTTCCTTTCTAACACCTATATTTATATACTTCAGGAAAATATCTATGCTGGGCTAAAACACAAACCTGGAAGTTTGCCACAATAGAAAGTCCTAAACAACTCAGTATTCCAAGTACAAGGCCAGCCTTGTTTAATTTGATGATATGGTTCTCTTCAGGATTCAGAGCATGAACTTGCTTATAACGAACATAAATAGTAGCAATGCCTGGGAAGAGATAATCCAAAAAACAACAAAGTAATAAATATTTGAGGAATAAAGTTGCCAGTGAAGAGTTCACAAAGGTCACTGCTATCAAGAAGCACAAATTTTCCTTTTAAAAGTTAATCTGCAAGAAGAAAACAAACAAACAATAAAAACAGCTGTAGTTTTTAGGAACCTTTAAGGTTGCTTCATGGAACTACTAATATCTCGTTTGCCTTCCATGGGTCTCATATTTACAAACATTTAGGACAAAACTTAAGGGATAAGTTTGATGTCTTCTGAAAATTTCTAATGCTTAAGAGTTATATAAAACAGAAAATATTTTTATGATTAGCTTCAAAGTCAAAAAAGTAACTAGTTCTAGAATAAGAATAAAATGGAAATAGGCCAAAAAACCCCAAAAGCAAATAGTAGACAAATAGACAATTACATAGAAAAAAAAAAAAAAAAGCCCACTGTACCATTCTTATTAGCCAAGAAAGGGCCAAATTGAACTTTCTATTGCAGAAAAACTGCCGAAGAACTTAGCAGTATAGAAAACATAACAGAGATATACTTTTGTAGATATGTTTCTGAAGAGTTTATTCATAAATTTCTAAAAATTGAATCATTTTCCAGACTTCTATTTTTGACTCAAGCAAATAATATGTAAAAGGGTGCAAATATTTAAAATGATCATGCTTGATGGAAAAAATATTTTAATAAATCATTAATATAAATTTGGTTCAAAATAAATCAACAGGAATGCAAAATACTATGGTAGAAACTCCATTCCGTTGGCATTAGAGTATGGCTCAAAAGTCAAAATGGTTCCATCGCCCTTCTCAAACATCTAAATTGTTATTCCTAAAGGAATTTAGTTAGGGTCAGTTGTGATCACTTGTGCCTATAGCTCTTTGTCCCCTACTGGTTGCTTAAGAAATCCATTTAAGTCCTCAGGGAATATTTAGTTATACTTAACTTGTATTTGGATGAGTAGCTGAATAGCCTATAGATATTTTTTAAAGGTTTATTTCCATAATTTAACATTTCTAGGAAAGTGTTTTTCTTTCAAAAGGAGCATAACCATGATCAAAACACAGTGATAACAGTCTGGCAAGTATAACTAGAAAGTAAAACAAGCAACACAATACTGTTTAAAGAAGAAAATAGCAATTTAGCTATTAATTTTGATTATTAAAATCACTCTCATTACTTACATAAAACTGCAGCGATATTTAGCATTGCCCCAAACAAACATTTTTCTGGAGCTACTGTACCAGTGTCACTGAAAGAAAAACAAGGTATGTGAATTTCTCACATTGGATATACACATGACCTGATCAAAGAAGAAAAGAAAAATAGATATACACATGTATTTCTTCTAAGGGATGAAAAGTAACAGGAGTTATTTCAACCCCTTTATCTTTTTAAGTCCAGAGTTCAACTCTTATTTTATAGAGAACACGACAATTTGAGTTCACAAATATTTGTGCACTACACTTTTTACTTACATCATTGAAGATTATCTCCTTTCCACATAATAGAAATCAACATAAATTAACTTTCTAAAAAGCTATCCTTGGTATGTTCAGACTGTGTTATTGGCTTACCATCAGTCAGGCAGATGCATTTATCTGTCTCACCAGAATATTCCCTAAACACCATAGGCCCTTTCAGAACTCTGCATTTTTGCATCTATTGTTGACTCTGCCTGCAGTTCAATTAACACCTATTAAGCTACTGATCAATTAAAAAAAAATTATCAAGCACCTAGCACATGCCAGATACCATTTCAGGGACAGGATTCAGTGGTAAATAAAACAAAGTCCCTGCCCTCACAGAGCTTATATTTAAGACCAGTTTTGAGTTACCTACTCTCTACAGCCTTGAACAACTGCTCTTGCAGATAGTGATTCACAGAGCATTCTGTCCAGACTTCTATTAAAATCACTAACCAAACTGCATTGCAATATATCTGCATACATGCCTGTCTTTCAGGGCAGTGTGAAATATACAAACCAAGATTAAAAACCTACCATTTACTAACTGTGGGACCTTGAGTACGTTCTTTTATCTCCCTAAGACTTTTCCTTCACCTACAAAATGAGGCTATCCGTTCCCTTCTAGCCTCATTGGATCAATATAAGGATGAAAGGAAACGTGGTAATACATGTTCAGTACCTAGCAGAGTAGCAAGTTCATGAGAAAAACCCATTAAATATTAGTTTCTTTCCCTTCCCTCAAACTACTACAAAGATTAAAAAGACAAAGTCTTTGGCCTTGAATTGAAGTACTATAGGAGGGAGACTATCAGGATCTCAACTAAGACAATGCAATGGGAATAAAAAGGAAATGAAAAGTAACGTTTAGCAAGGAATCAATAAGATCTGGTAAACATTTGGATTGGGGGGTTTAGGAAAAGGAAAGTATCAAACATGAATTCTAAGGATTGTTCCTTATAACTTTACAATTCCACGAATCTTTCTTCTAAAAAATAAAAATATGCAATGATAATGGGGACACAAAAAATAATGTATTTGTAAAGAAATAATTATAAAATAAAATGTATCTTCTACATACAAAAGGTTTTGTTACTCTTTGATGCTCTGGGAATGGGGATTATGGGATTTTTATGTTCCTTCTATCTTTTAAATTTTTCCACAATGTATACGTATTATTCTTATAACCAGAAAAAAATTCATAATTTTAATAGTTGTATTCTAAATGATGCTCCTGTTTTGGATTACCCCATAAATAAGCAAAAGCATGCATTTCCAATATGGTTGACTAAGGGTGTTCCCTCCTTTGACTCTGGAACAGAATGACATAAACTAGCCTACAAATGAGAACAGCCATGCCCATCACCTCATTAGTACAGTCAAACCAGTGGTCACCAAACTGTTTTGATCAGGTACCATGACAAAAAAATGTCTGACCATGTAACTTCAAAATATATGTATTTACTGTATAATTATTATTCCACATACTAAATATCAGTAAAGTTTAAATATTTTTAGATTTAAAAAATATGAGGATTCGGATCCCCATACCGGTCAGCCACCAAAACAACAACAAAAAAAATATGAGGGTACTTCAAAAAGTTACTTTAATTCTATTTTTCCAGGAACTTTTTGAAGTACCCTCATACACCCAGGTGTTCTAATATTTTCTTCTTGTACCAAGCAGCTTGTGTCATGCACCCCACTTGGGCATCCACTACTTGAACCAGAGAACACTTGATGAGTACTTGAATTGAAATTGCCTTAGAAGTGAAATTTACATTTGGTTATGACCTTTGGGGCTGTAACAACTAAACCTTTTCGATATGGTCTGAGAACTGAAAGAAACCATACAGAGTGTCTAGTTTAACATAATCATTTTGCAGATAAAGGAACTGAACTTCAGAGAAGTAAAACTAAGCAACAGAGTTTAAATATATTAGAATATTGGAGAAAGATTACAGAGTAATACAAACTTCATTAGCAGAAATGTAAAAAAGCAAAAGGAGAGAGTCAGAAAAAGAAATGTCTAGGACTCTATCAGAAAATCACATGCAGTACCATCAGAGAACTGAAACTCTGAAAAAGCTTCAGTGGCCTCTTAAATTATTAAAAGCTGTTTAAAATGAAAGCAGACAAGTCTTCAGAAGGGGAAATAAAAATATTGAAGGAATATCATGAATCTTAAATGTGCATCTTCTCTTGGAGTTACTAAAGAATGGTCTCACTCCTTAAACTACATGTTCCTCTACCAGAGTGGTGATTATTTATCAAATTATTTTTAGACTTGTAACCTTATATTTTAAAACATTTTTGGGCTTTGTAAATCTTCCCAAAGTATACTCAGTTTGTTTATATGCTTTGCGCCATACTATACCACTGTAGAAACAATAATTGTAAATGGTGATGCTCAGATCTTTTCTTGACATTTTAAAAAGATAAATTTAATCTACTGATTTATCTTCGTTTAAAAGTTTACTTCTTTCTGTGTTGGAAAGGCTATTTTTCAGAAGGTAAACAAATGAATAAATGAAACAACTACAACAACAACAAAGTAATGAATACTATTTAACAACAAAAAAAGCAATTCATTTGGCATCTACACAGAGAGATGTTTCAAAGGCATCGCATAGAGGTTGAATACTTTTTCGGGGGCACCTAAGTATACATCAGGTAGATTTATTTAGATTAAAACACTGGAAAAAATATTACAGAAAAAGGGATGGCCATTAGCTCACTTGGTTAGGGTGTGGTGCTGGTAACACCAAGGTCAAGGGTTCAGATCCCCTTATCGTCTAGCTGCCAAAAAAATAAAAATAATAATAATAAAAAAAAATTGGGAGTTGCTTAATCATATTTAATAACAGTATTTTAATAACTATGTTTTCTTCACCTCCCCTCCCTATGTAATTTTTTTAACTTTTACATAAAAGTTTAAAACTTAATAGCCCAGAAACCATTTGTAGTGATCATGATTTCTCTGTGAATGCATAAATTGATGCAATGCTTTTAGAGGGATATTTGGTACTGTCAAGCTAAAAATGTCAATGCCCTATAACCTATATAGCAATCCCACTTCTAGGAGCCTAGCTCACATAAATATCAGCATAAGTACATAGTTATATGTAGTGAAATCTTCATTACACTGCTGTTTGCAATAGCAAAAAAAAAAAAAAAAAGAACAAATAAGCAATTTATATGTCAACATACTATCACTTTTTATAAATGAAACAAAATGAAAAACCCCAAAAAAGTTAAAAGTGAGAAGAAAGAAAGGAGGAAAAGAAGACGGAGAGAGAAAGAATTTTGTATAATCAGAGATGACAAGCTAGAACAAACCAAACTCTGGAAGGAAACCTATCAAATAATGAATCACCTCCGGGGGGCAATGACTGGAAAGGGTTAGGAAGAGACGTTCACTTTTTATTTTTATAATCACTCTGGTATTGTTTAAACTTTGTTGTTATACTTACTTATTGCTTTTGTAATTTGAAAAAAGAGGGTCAGGGACATAGCACATGCAAGTGAGAACCGTGCTTACATCATTATTAGTTTTGAGATCTCAAAAATATTTCCAGGGCCAGCCCATGGCTCACTTGGGAGAGTGTGGCGCTGACAACACTAAGTCAAGGGTTAAGATCCCTTACTGGTCATCTTTATTTAAAAAAAAAAAAAAAAAAAAAAAAATTCCAATACATTTTGATACTTAATGTGTCGAAAATACCTATCCAACATGTCATAAAGAGGAAGAGCACATTTATATATAGTAAGTAGATCAATAAATGTTTGTCATTACCATTATCTTTTCAGATTATTATTGTTGTCTGCAGCATTTTTTAATTTTAAGGGGAAAATAATTCTAATTTTATCTTCTAAAACAACCTCAAAGACTTATTTGGAAGACAAGGCATTAAGGGGTCACAATTCACTAACCAATTCACTAACTGAATCTTTTTCCACTGTCTCCACATTTCTCTATCACACAGAAAGAGCCAAATACAAGTTCACTTTTACATACCCTCTATTGTTATAATGCTAGTGTAAAATCTGAATTTTAAAATGCTGACATGAAATGTTGGCTTCAATGTTAAAATATGAATGAAACATAAAAATTCTCCTATACAAGGAATACATTTTACTGACCTGATATAAGGCAATGCAGGGTCGACATGGTGGAGTGTTATTGCAGTAATATATGAAAATATGAAAGCAGCAGATGTCCAAATTACAAGGGCTGAAGGAAGGAAACTGAGGCCTTGCTGAAACCACCACATTTCAAACAAGACTTCTGAAGTAGGAAAAACAAATTAGAAAAGGTAATTCACTAGGGTTTCCTCCATTCTACTTTAGCCATCTACTCCCACAACTTATCACCCTGAGCCATTCCACTTCTGAAGTCATCTTCCACGACATCCCGCAACACAGCTTTTCTTTGTTTTCTTAGTAAATGCAACCAAGATTCACCCACTTGCCATAGCCAGAAACTTTCTGTATCATCTTCCCACACATAATCATGTACCATGTAGTTTATTCTGCCTCCTAAATTTCTTCAAATCTACCCCTTCTCTCCATCTTTACTGCCACTACTCTACCTAAATAACCATAAACTCTTGCTCAGCTTATTATCATGACTTCTTAAATGGAACTGTGATATTATGAAATATGTATTTGGTCTTTGTCCCATTTCCTGGCAAAAAACTCCTAAAACCCTTGAAATCTCCACAGTGATGAGTATCTTTTATAGCTTTTTATATTATAATAAGATGACTGGGGACTGGCAGCCTCTAGATAGCTCAGGATGGGGGCTGGTCACAGGAAAGACCAAGTCATGATTAGAGGGTTGGGACTTTCAGCCCTACTCCCCAACCTCCGGGGGAGGGGGGGGAGAAGCTAAAGGTTAAGTTGATCACCACTGGCCAATGATTTAATAAATCATGCCTATATGTAAAGAAGCTTCCATAAAAATCCAACAGGACAGGGTTCAGAGAGCTTCTGATAGCTGAGTACATACAGGTTCCTGGAGGGTGGTAAGCCCTGTGAGGGCATGGAAGCTCCATATCCGTTCCTACATGCCTTGCCATATTTATCTCTTTATCTGTATCCTTTGTCATATTCTTTATAATAAACCAGTAAATGTCAGTTAAGTTATCTCTGAGTTCTGTAAGCCATTTTAACAAATTAATTAAACCCAAGTAGGGGCTGGTAGAAACCCTGATTTATAGCCAGTTGGTCAGAAGCAAAGGTAAAAAAAAAACCTGGGGCTTGCAATTGGCATTGGAAATGGGAGGCTGTCCTGTGGGACTGAGCCCTCAACCTGTGGGCTCTGACACTATTTCCAGGTAGATATTGTCAGAATTGAATCGAATTAGAGGACACACAGCTGATGCCTGCTGCAGGACCGACTGTGTTAAATAAAAATTATAGGAAGTCATTGTTTTAGACTAAGTTCCTGCACTAGGAACCACAGACCAGACTAAAACGTCAAAATGGAGTCAGTCACTCCTGCTAAAGTTCCACATCACCAAACCCAAATTAAGTTGTTGCCTGACTTTCTGAGAAATCAGGAGGGAGAGATAACGGCCAATTTTCCCAGAAGGCCAGCTTAAATCTTCCCTCTGTTTTAATCCTTACACTAAAGAAGTAACCTGATGTTAAATACTGTTATTTTTCTATTGTTCTGTCTGTACCTTACAAGAATAGTAAATTTGAAATGACTAATCTGCTTTTTGTTCTTGGTCTCTGCTTCCTTAAGCTCTTTTCTGTCTATAAAGTCAAACTTTCTTGCTCATTTCATTGGAACACTTATTCTATTTTATGGAATAAAATGTTGCTTGATTCTAGAATTACAATAAAGCCAACTGAGATCTTTAAATCTGTTGTAATTTTGTCCTTTGACAATTGGTTGCTGGTGGGAAGAAATCTCCACATACGAGGGTACTTTAAAAAGTTCATGGAATAGGGCCGGCCCGTGGCTCACTCAGTAGAGTGCGGTGCTGATAACACCAAGGCCACGGGTTCGGATCCTATATAGGGATGGCCGGTTTGCTCACTGGCTGAGCGTGGTGCTGACAACACCAAGCCAAGGGTTGAGATCCCCTTACCGGTTGCAATCCGTTGCCGGTCACGAAAAAAGACAAAAAGGAAAAAAAAAATTTATTTTAAATTCTGTGCCAGATAACCCAAATAGCTAAACTTTTTGTAAGTCAATCTCTCATTCTATTTTTTCTTTTTTTTTTTTTTCTTTTGTCTTTTGTCGTGTCCGCATGGAATAGAATTAAAAGATAATAGAAACCTTTCCATGGACTTTTTGAAGTACACTTGTATTTCTTGGTGACCAGAGAAGTATTTTGTGTTGATTACTGAGTGAGAGAAACATAGGAAAAACCAATATTAGTCTTGATCACAACTATCCTAGATTCCATCCTAAAACCAGAATGATCCTTCTAATTCTAAGATACCAATCTGACCACCTTATTCTCCTGCAAACAATAATTCAATAACCTGCCCCCCAAGCCCTTACAAATTGTCTTTCCTCCTTAAAATCGTCCTTGCATCATCTGATCTCTACTTATTTTTCTATATTTACCTCTGGTCACTCTTTCCTCCCAATTCTTTTCTCTAGCAGCCATCATCATCATCCTCATCATCCATACAAAAGCAAACACACAGTGTTTACTATGTGTTACCAATGTCACTAAGCACTTTAAATACGTGACCTAACTTACTCCTCACAACAGAATTGCAGAGGTTAAGAGAGTTGCCCAAGATCATAAGACTAGAATGTGGTAGAGACAGGATTCAAACTCAAGCAATTTAATGATAACATAGATCCACTATGCTCTACGCCACAGGAAACTTCTTGCAGATCTTCAAATGTGTCATGCTGTCTTGCGCCACCATTCTCTCGGTCTGGATGACTAGACTACAATGTTATCACTCCCTCTACCCACTACCTAACTAGTTAACTTCTACAAATTTTTTCAAGTCTCAACACTGACAGCTGCAACTGAGTGTCCCTGCTTTGTTTCCAACAACACCTTTTCCCAACCAGAACATTCATCACATTTAACTGTTACTGGCTTGTTTGGTTTTATCTTCCTCACTAAACTTTTAAGTTCTGTGAGAGCAGGAAACAACTATTTTGTTCACCATATTTCTAGCTTCTAGATACAGGGGAAAAAAAGAGGACCTAAAAACACACATCACCACTTTCTCCCTTAAATTCCAGACTGAGGATGTTGTCAAGCAATAATGAGTCAATAATGTGAATTAGAAAATTAGACATACATTAGTATATCTTAATGCATTAATCTTTTAAATTTAATTTTTTAAAAAATAGGAATACTTTTATATTACAAGAAATTATTCCTATGCAGGTGAGAATAATTTCATGTTTGGAGGAGTATCTTCGCATGACCTAAAAAATTTTGTTTCTCGCGAACTTTGCAAATACTTACAGTTCCTATTCTCCACAATCCTCTACTGTGCTCAGCTTCCTCATCTCAAACTGACCTTCCAAATAATGAAATCTCAGCCATTTTTGACTTGCACTTGTCATCTACTCTGATCATGCGACTTGCTGCTAAATATGTACATTTACATCTTGCTAAATAAGTTTCTTTTCCTTTATTCCTAGAGTCACCATTATAGGCTTGATTTGAGTAATTTCTTGCCAGAATTATCATAATTTTCTCTTTTCTGTTCTTTTTTTCCTTGTCAGTCCTTAACATCCCATCAACATTTTTTTTCCATCTATTTAGTTAATCATGACAATTCCTTGCAAAGATCCTTTAGGTGCTTTCCTTAGCACAGGTTTGTTTCTGAGACTGTAATTCTGTTTGTATAAATTTTGAATCACTCCTAAAATCTTTAATTTTACATCTTTCAACTCTTTTGTTATTTTAATTTGTTTCTGATAATACCTACCTAAAGTCCTTGGAAGTCTAGATCCATTATTTGTTAGTTCAGCCAACCCTTTGCACATGTGTTTTATGGTTTTTGACTGTGAACTCATATTTGGATGATCTTAATCTGGGAGCATTCTCAAAGGCTTAAATTAAGGGTTAATCATTCCAGGGAGGATCTGTATTTGTTTAGGCAGGCACTCTGGCACATTACCAACTTGGACCATCTTTCCATTAATTTCTTGGCTTCTAGCTCTTTAGACCATGTAGAAATGTATATTTGAACTTTGAATCTGAGTGATGGCAGACATAGTTTCAAGTTTTCAGGTGGTATCTTTATTCCCCCACCTGAAGCTGTGGTGAAAATGAACAGATTTCTTTGTGATCTCTCTTGCCAAGAAGGAATTATTTTTCTGGCCCATTTTCCACTGAGTATGTAGACTTTTGAGGGCCCTGGTTGAATTCCAGAGGAGGTGGTTCTCCAAGGCCATGAGTTGTACAATTTTAAGTGGAAATATTTTACATTTTGTTTTATGAAAAATGTCACCCACTGAGGCACAAGCACCATTTACCCAAACTACCATGTAAATAGTACCTGCTGGAGTTGTGTACCTGGGAGATCACAGGGCTATGAATTCTTTTTCTTTCTTTTTTTTTTTTTTAACAAGCTTGAAGAATGGAAGAGATATGAATTCTATCTCTCTACCTTGGATAGGGAGCAGGGGAGCCTATCACCCGTCCCTAATTATGCTTTATTTCTGTTATCAGCCAAATGCCCCCAAAAGGAGACATATTACTAGTTTACTACACTGGTTTCAGCTCTTTGACTTTTTTAGTCCCGAGGATGTCCCTTTCTTTCCCACAAGACCTGTTACGGATTTAAAGGCTAATATTATTTATTCAGCATTTAGGTGTTTGGGTAAAGGGAATCTTCAAAGCATTTTGTCTACCCTCCAAGCTAGAAGCATAACCTCCTCCCCCTTTTATTGTTTTTGCATGTCTAAATCCTTCCCTGTTCTTCAAAACAAAGCTCAAAGGCTATCTTCTACCAAAACCTTCCCTAACCCTTTTGGATCTGGAAATAAGCATCCCTTTCTCTGAGGATACTTGATCTGCACGTCTTCTAAAGCATGAAAATTTAGGCGGGTGTCCTAAGTGAATAAAATCCTTACTGAGGGACTCCACTTCACCTAAGTGTAGTAGAGGGCCTGGACCATAGTAATTACTTAACTTGTTGTATGAACAAACAACCAAAACCAAATTCTCTTAATTCCCAAACAGCATTACTAGTAAATAGCATTACCATTTTTCCAGGCTATTTAGATTCTAAGACTTCAGATTAACCTTGGGTTCTCTCTTCCAGCAGACCTCACATGCTGTCACTAAGTGATGGTAATTCTATTTCTCTAAGTTATTTGCAACCATCCTTCCTCCCAGTTCACACTGTAACCACTTGAATCAGATTCTCAGTTCACTTGGCCTAAGCGGTTTTTGTTTTCCCCTCCATCCTTTCTATCTGCATTGCCAAATTAACATTCTTAAAGTATTCTTCTGCTCCAGAATTTATTTAAAAATCTGTTAGATGACCTAAAATAATACCTGCTTCATGGAGGTTCATTCAAGGACTTAATGAGATAATATTTGTAAAGTACTATCATAGGTGATCAATAAATATTTGTTCCTCTTTTAGAATGTTAAAAATGAATTACCTGTTTTATGAGTTCACAAAATGTCAGTCTTCAGATCTGTCTAAACCTGCACCTTTTGTAAATCCTGAGATCCACATACAAAAAAAAAAAAAGACGGTTGTTTCAATCCACATGATTTTAAACATGCACAATTTCAAGTCAACACACCAATACTGTTCTTCAACAAGACACCAGGCTATTGCATTATTAACAGGTTATTTTTCTTTAAAGAGCTGATATTTGAGTTTTTTATAATGATGTTCTATCACCTGGAATTAAAAAATATTTTAATTCGAGGATATCAATTTTCTTATCTTTTCTGAAATCAGACACTTTTTGCTGGCCTCAAAAAGGATAAAATAAAAGGAAAAACACCAACTTTTCTCCTTTAAAAGGAAGATAAGATGGGGAAAGAATGACAGCTTATCATTAAGCAAAATAAAGCATTAACTAGTCTGTGTGAAGCAATCAAAGAACACAGCTGTGAAATAAGATTTATCTAAGTGCAAATCTTACCATTACCACCTCCTAGTTGTATGATTTTAGGCAAGCCACTTAGCTTCTGACTTACAGTGTTTTAATTTGTATGAGCCAAACCCTCAAAGCATTGTTCCTCAGAGTGAAACAGTAAGCATATAATAATGATAGCTGATTTACTGATTATGTACAGTCATAAATAGCCACAAGTATAGTGAAAAGCCCCTATGTATAACTTCTTTGTATGTGAGAATCATCTTGAATTCATATTTCCTTAGGCTTGATGATTCTAGTTTAAACTGACAATTTTGAGAAACAGGGCTTGAGATGATTTACCAGTTTGTTAATGAAAACTGAGAAATTTAAGTGCATGAACTAGATAAGGAAGACTACTAATTGCCCGTGTAATTTCACATAGGAGAGCTGACAGCATGGTTGGGGAACTGACAAACAAGCAAAATTAGAATTTCAAAGGTTATAATTCAAGAAGCCTTTCAAAATACTTGAAAATACGCAGGAATAAACTTCACATAGCAGTAAGAGTGCTTAACAAAATGTTCTTGCATCTTTCACCTGTCTTCTCTGCTTTTTTGAAGTCCCAAGAATCAGAACTGCAGTTACAATTTTTTCTCACAAATATTTAAATGCCACTGGTGATAAGCTTAATTCCTTATGCTGACTCCTCTAAGTGGTGACTGCTAAGAAATAATAAGAAAGTAAGTTCTGGATGTTCCAAGTGACAGACAGAAAGCTCTAAGCTGCTTTTAGAGGTTCTTTCACAGAACTATCAGGCCCAAAGCAAAGCATAATAGCAAACGGTTATCTTTCTAAACTCTAACTTGGCCTCCTGACAAATTTAGCAGTCTCGTAATGTCTAAATCCTAAAGACTCTATAAGATTAAGTAACGTTTTCGTAAAGTGGATCAAATGTTACATGGAGACATGAGCAGAATCTTATGATGCAACGCAAATTAGAGAATTGCATTTAGGTACTTATTTAGAAATTAAAATTCGTGAGAACTGGGAAAATTACTTCTATGGTGTGTCTTCTGTGTTTTTCAAATGCATCCTACAGTAAAGCACGGATGTTAGGATGCCAGGACAGCAATTTCCTCTCTGAACGGAGCCTATCCCCTGCGATGGAACTGCGCGAATGTAGTAGACTGAGCTCCGTGTAAACACAAGGTCACCACCGATTTCAATTTCATAACTTCTCCCCGCTGTCCCCCGCCCCCCCACCAGGCATCTGAGCCCAGGAGTGTCAATAGGAACACGTACTCAACCGTAGTTTTTGTGGGACTGGGGCGAAGGTTCTCAGTAACCGCTTAAACAAAACCAGAGGCATTAATTAGACTGCTGCTTGTTTCCGGAGGCTCAAAGCACTAGGGCCTTGAAAGATGTGGCTCCGCTTTGCCTGGCGCAGGGTAAAAATGCAGGAGAGGGCGCTTGGCACTAGGAACCGCCTGGGGCATGCGAAAAAGCGGGGGGGGGGGGGGCAACCAAGG